TTGCCCCCCAAAGGCTCCCCTACTGGGGCCAGGGAGGAGCCTGCAACCTAGGTACATGCCCTTGATCAGAATCAAACCCGGCCCCCCTGCAGATTTGTGTCTCAACTCCGGCCCCAGCAGCCCAGTGCTGCAGCTGTGGGGCTGGGGCTGGGGGCCAGCCCCCCTGCATGTTGTTCTCTCGGCTCCAGGGCTGGGCGCGGGCCACCCTGTCTGTTGTTCTCTTAGGCTCTGGGCCCACTCCAGGCCCCTCCTCCTGACCTGGTCATGACTGTTATGGCGTCCTGGCCTAATTTGCATATTACCTCTTTTTATATATATAGATTATACATGATATACTGGGGGTCACCCATGACCAGCACTGTGCTAATCTATGAGAAGACAAAGATAAGTAAGCCAGAGTCCCTGCCTGAAAAGAGTTCACCGTCAGGTCATCTTGGTCTCTTGTATCAAAGATCACATAGCCCATGGGGGACCCTGAGATGTAAAGAAAAGATTATAAAGATGTACAAAGGCCCCGAGAATGGCCAGTCCGGAATGTAGGGGCCCCCAGGAGAGGCTCCAGGCCGGGCAGACGTGCTTCTTCACGGTGAGACATACAGGCTGACTTCATTCTCCACTCAAACTACTCGCTTCTGAGGTTTGATCCGCTCCCCATGCTCTCTCCATGCCCTTCTTCTCTCCGCCATCCCCACAGCAGAAACAACTAATGTGTGAGGCCTCCTGACTCCCTGGGCATCTTCCAAATTCGGTTATGGTGCTTCCCAGGTTCTTCCTTAATTTCACAGACACGTCTGTCTCTCCCTCGGCCTGGGAGTAACAAGAAAGCAGGAATTGGGTCCTTGTCAGCTGTTTTCATTTATTCAACAAACGTTTAGTGGGCCCTAGCTGATTTGGCTATGTGGATAGAGCATCAACCCGGGGACTGAAAGGTACTGGGTTCAATTCTGGTCAAGGGCACGAACCTCAGTTGTAGGCTCCATCCCCGGCCCTGGTCAGGGTATGTACGGGAGGCAACCAATTGATGGGTCTCTCTCACAATTGATGCTTCTTTCTCTGTGTTTCTCCCCCTCCCTTCCACTGTCTCTGAAAATCAATGGAAAACTATCCTTAGGTAAGAATTAACCAACCTTGATTGGGTGCCTACCCCATGGCAGACACTGTTCTAGGTTCTGTCACGCAGCAGTGAAGTGAGTCACAGGTCTCTGCTCTTAGATGTATACTCTAAGCAGGAGGAGTAGGAGTGAGAACTAAACAATAACAACAGAACTAGAAATTTATACATTCTATTCAAAGAATTAAAAATGGAATGAGGTGATTCAGGGGTGTTTACCGGAAATTGGGTCCCTCCGAGGAGAGGATAGTGCCTAAAGCTTTGCTGGGCTGGTATGACTCAGTGGTTGAGTGTCGACCTATGAACCATGAGGTCATGGTTCGATTCCTGGTCAGGGCACATGCTCGGGTTGTGGGCTCCATACCCAGTGTGGGGTGCGCAGTCCAGGAGGCAGCCGATCCATGATTCTCAATGTTTCTATCTCTCTCTCCCTCTCCCTTCCTCTCTGAAATCATTAAAAATAAAAAATAAAGAAATGGGAATGGAAGTCCCATGTCCCCCACTCTCAGCCTTTCCAAGTCTGTGGCTGAGTTCCTCCCCGGCCAGCAGAGCCCAGTGGACCTTGTCGTTGAGCCCACAGCTCAGGCCTGGGGGACAGCCAGGATGTACCCAGAGGCTGGGGTTCATGCACCGGCGTCCACAGAGTACCATAGATCCCCTTCTAAATAAGATGTACATGCATGTTCATGTCCAATGACAGTGATGCGTGATTTACATGAAATTAACCCTCCTGCTTCGTTACAGCCACGTGGGATTAAGAAGAAAGGGCTTTTCCTTTGTAAGCAGCGGACGGGTCACCTCACGGCCTCTCTCTGAACTGGGCCTGGCCCAGTCGCAGGCTTCCTTCCCTCGTCAGGAGTGCTGGGCGCTGAGTCTCCAGTTGGAGCCAAGCATCTGCTTTTTCTGAAATGTG